ACCCAGCACAGCTGGGACGAGCATACGACGCAGGCAGACGGCCGATCAGACCGATGTCGCCCTCGGGTGGGGCCTTTACAGAGGCCGTATGAGGCCGCACCACTCGGGGCCTTCACAGAGGCCGTCTGAGGCCGCACCACTCGGGGCCTTCACAGAGGCCGTCTGAGGCCGCACCACTCGGGGCCTTCACAGACGCCGTCCGAGGCCGCACCACTCGGGGCCTTCACAGACGCCGTCCGAGGCCGCACCACTCGGGGCCTTCACAGAGGCCGTCTGAGGCCGCACACTCGGGGCCTTCACAGAGGCCGTCTGAGGCCGCACCACTCGGGGCCTTCACAGACGCCGTCCGAGGCCGCACCACTCGGGGCCTTCACAGACGCCGTCCGAGGCCGCACCACTCGGGGCCTTCACAGAGGCCCTCCGAGGCCGCACCTCTCGGACGGCAGCGGGTTGTCGGATCTCCGCAGCGGTGGTGGAGTTTGCAGCCAGCTTCTTGAGCTCGCCGATTCGGCGCACCTTGTTCAATAGACACAGTGTGCGGCACTTTGGCCAGGCACACTTTAGGCACAGTGTGCGGCCAGGTTCTCCGCGCTGAGATATCCCACCAGTCTTTTCTAGAGATCCGACGCACGGTCTTACTGTTGCGGCCGAAAAGGAACTGTTGCTGAATAGCCGTTTTTGTTTTTGTTTACTTGCGAGACAAGTTTTTCTCACGTGCCGTTGATGGTGCTTGGGATTTTAGGGAGTACCAACTAAGATGCCATTTTGTCACATTTCTCATACGTTACCATGCACCAGATACAGTAACGGACCTGTGAGAAGACCAGGACATGACGAGGACGGAGGATGAGGTGGGGGTAGATCTTCCCTCAGATGCGACCAGACCAATCAGAATCCTACAGCAGCCCTCTCCTGCCGTGACAACGTAGAGGCTTCAACTAAGTGAAAGTCGAAGCTGAGCTTTAGGCTTTTGGGCTCGAACCAGAAAATTATCATAGATCGCGGATGCTTGCGTGCATCGTCACGCCCGAGAGCATCAGTGGATCGACGGCGTTAATGTTAGTCCGTTTTGCTCGGAACCGCATCGAGGGCGGCGAGTTAGTTTCACGTGGCGACGACGTTATGCATTTAGATGTCTTGCTACCACTCAAGGTTTTAGTGTCGTCGGCGTAGTGGGCAACCGTTGCGTTCTCGGCGAAAGGATGGAGTAATTGGTGAAGACGCTGGGCAAGGCAAGAGAGATTCAAGAGAGATCCTTGAAAGACGCTTAAGTCTTTGGAGCGAGGAGGCAGGTCTTTGATAGCATCTAACTCTGTCAGTGGAATGCACCCTCTGGGTGTGGCTTCGAAAGTATGCCAAAAAAACTGGGACGGTCGATACCACTAGGAATCCATGCTGACAGAAGCCTGATGGTCTGGTCACGACGAAAATATTCTCTTAATCCAGCAGACGGGCAGGGAACAAACACCTCCCTATGATACGTTGGGAAAGGACATGGTCAGATATGGAGTCAGTGATGTAAGCGCGGCTCCCGTCGGTGACGGGGGCAGAGACCGCACCGACTGGGGACATCATTTAAGACCCGCCGATGAGCGTAGTGATCGACAATTTTTGCGATGACTGGAATGACTGCAGTAGGACGGAAATTGTAGTGATCAAAAGGTTCACCAGATTTGGTGACAGCCCATCCACCTCCCGACATATGGCAAGGCAGCCGCGTTGGGCCTACGTGAACAGCCCACTTACGTCCACACGGTAACTATAGGGTACACATGGTACCACGTGACAATGTCCACGCGGTACCTACTCACATGTGGATGACCGTGGTCTAAACATGCGCACCGTCTAAGCTCGCTCATCTCTAAATCACGTGGTGGTCATATCGGGTATCAGGTGCGCCCAGACATGTGCCGGGGTTTCAATATTGGCTCCTGCCCCCTACTGGTTCCTTCGACAAACAAGACCCTGAACTTTGGGCATTGAGTAGAATCGCTTTTGAACTAGCGTAGGGGTGAAAAAGTCCATTGCAAAAAGACCGCACGGGAGCGAAAAATTCAGTTCCACAAAAGCTGGAACTTATGGTCAGTGAGAGATGCTGCAACAAACAAAGACATACACTCCAAGTTTGCATGAACATAATGTCATGAACATGACAAAACCTTTTATTTTTTAATATCTCAGGTAATTTAAGTGCAATTGAAAACATCAAAGAATAATAAGCTCATAAAACACATCACTACCAAGTCAGACACAACAGACATACCTCTGCCTTCTGTTAAAATATGGCCAGGAAATATAAATATCATGTCATTGTTTCTTACAAAACATGCTTATTTTCATGAAAGCAACCAAGCTACGCCTAACCTTATCTCATCCTGTCTAACATATTTGCATCACAGCAGCATTTGTGAGCCACTGATTCTCACAAAATCCCCATTGCCACTTGTCATGCAATTAACAAACTTAACCTAACTTGGAGTAGCCCTATATATCGACCACTATCCATCCCACCCCACCACTGGGGGTAGGTTGCAGGCAGCCGGGCATGTGCCAGGCGACGGATGCAGGTTCTGTGTTAAGGAGTCCAGGTTACAGGACACATGGCCATCTCGGTTGAGATTGAAAGGACGGCTTTGGTGGTCGGTGGCCGGCCTGAGTGGGCTAGCGAACGAGCTGGTTGCCAAGCCGTCCGGTTTGTCGCGTCCCCGGCGTGCAGTCTGCGCAGGAAGACGGAAGGGAGTTTTAGGCTTCCTGCCAGAATCGATAAAACGGTTAGAACTTCGGACGCAGCTGGGAACCGGTCACAGAGTTGGGCTACAGTATATTGGTTAGATAGCAGATCATCGGGTCAGACTGCAGCTAATTGGTCAGGCCGCACATCAGGGGTCACGTTTCTAATCCCGGTGCCAGCTTGCGGGTCACCGGGACAGGTTGCAGGCCATGGGGGCAGGTTGAAGGTCACGGAGGTAGGTTGCAGATAGCATCCAGGACACCACGCAACAGTCCAGGTCATGAGGTTCGGAAATCGGCGGAGAACGGTAGGAACTCAAGACACCGCGGTGGGGCGAGGGCAAACCGCACGATAAGTTCCTCGATGGGCGGCAATGCGATCTTCGGACACTACGGCAGCGGGAGGTATCCCGCAGTAAGATCGGCAGTTGGAGATAGTTGTTCACAACACCGCAGTTGCAGGGTAGGCCACAGGGTCAGGTTATCAGTGAAGTACAGCTGACAATTCGTGCTTCAATGTCACGGATGCAGGTCACACATAGTCGGCGGTGGAGGGCAGCAGGGATTCTAGAAAAGGTTTTACGGTGATAGCGTAGGCGTCATTCGAGCTAAAACATTAAATTTGAGCGTTCGACAATGAGCCGTGTAGCTTGGGTGGCTGACGTCCTGAGTGCGCTGAACTTGTGAACCTTCCGAGCTGGGAGATGACGTCTTGCGTCACAAAGAAACCTAAAAAAAAACCACACCGGCAGCCAATAGACAGACTGGAAAACGACGACGAGATCAGAGTAGGATGTCGAAGGCGATACGTGCTTACAGACGTCGACAGGCAGATAAGAGTCGACGCGGGCAGACAAGCGTTGGTGACTCAGACAGACGTCGACGACGCAGGCAGGCAGACGTAGACGACACAAGCAGACAGACGTCGACGACGCAGGCAGATGTACGTCCACGACGCAGGCAGACAGACGTCGGCGACGCAGGCAGATG